CTGCCACCATGTCATCTAATCCAGCTCAGGAAGTCTTGATCATACTCTGGTAAAATTGTTGTTGGCCTGTCCATCAGTTCCTGTTCTTACCACTGGGGGAGCTGCCACTGTAGGAATGAAATAATGAGGTGCAGTATGAGGTTTATTAGGAGGCAGCCCCAGCCTACAGTAAGACTGCAGTGATGCAGAGTGGCCTGACGCTGTGCATAGTAGTGGATCAGGTTCTCCGGACACATCATAACTGCTGGCAGTGCTTATGCACCCGCTGGGTTTGGTGTAAGGCCAGAATCTTCTAGTGTTGACAAGGCTTTAGAAAATGGTGCTCTTTTAGGTTACCTATTCCCACTTTCGTCCCAAGTGCTGAAACTGAATCCTGTGCTCTGTTTCCTCCCCCATTGGCTGGAGCCCTGAGAAGCATTTTTAAGTGCCATTTCTAAGTGACCTGGCAATTGTCTTTATGTATGTACAGCTACAGCAAGACATTTTGATTTAGTTTTTAGTTATGTTGTTATATCACACAAATCCATAGAGCCACAACTTCCCCTTTTTGTCTTGCTTTAAAAAGTCTTTTGTACTGAATATATATGAATACGGCCTGACAGTTGGAAACAAAAAAAGATGGGCAGCAGAAGAGTTAAAGTTCTCTAAGTGCTGTCAGCTCTACTGTATTATTTGCAAAGAGTATTTTTGGATTCCTAGTTAGGATAAATACTCTTTTAGCACACACTATTACATAAAATGCTGTCGGACTGCTTTTCATTTCCAGTTTGTCTTGCTTTTAATTTTGCAAGCTTTGTGTTGCATTAATAAAAGGTTTTGTAACTTTTACAGAACAGCATGCTCATGCTTTTCATATTATACATCTAGTTTGTATGGTGAAAAATGCTATAAAAACAAACCTTTAGCAACGTGATCCTCAAGCCAAACTGCCCTCATGCTTCCTGTTATACATCCTAAAACTTTGAGTTTTTGCTGCCCTTTGAAGCTTCATATTTTGTATTGGCCAGTAAGGGACAATATCGTGACTTGCTATCATGTTCTGATTCAGGTGTCTATTGTTTCTTTATCAGGGCATGCTTTGGTAAAATTGCCAGGTAACCATGGTGAAGACAGCAGATGTGACGATATAATCTTGGAAAAAGTCTGGGGCCATGCTTTTATTACAGCTCAAGTGTAAAGGTTTATTGCAGCTAAAATGGATTATTTGAGAGACAGGTGTAAGCAGATATTAAAACAGGTTTCACTGTCAGAGCTAACCTGTGTAAAACAACATTAACTCTTTCTTGTCTTTCTCTTTCCTTTTGGAATAGAGATTTCACAGCCCCCTGAAGGATTTGAAGCTATCATTGAGAGTACACTAATCTGGTTCTTTGAATCAGTGATATGGCTGTAGCTTATTTTTAATGACGACTTTTCACTCCCTGATGGCAGTGACAGTTGTGACAATAATGGAGATTTGGGTTTTTTAAGATCTGTGTTCCTTTTTTTCCCCTTGTTCTACTCCATGAGTTCAAGTACTACAGTAAAAAGCCCTGCTGAATTTTAAGTTTCTTACTTCTACATCTACTAGCATCTATATAACTATGTACTGCCACGAGGTGGCAGCAAAGGATTCAAAAGGTTGTATCACTGCTGTTTTCGATTTAAATCAGGGATTCTGGAACTCTTTCAAAGGATTACTGTGAAATAGCAGACTCATCCTGGCACTGCTTTCCACCATGTTCCTCTTCACCCATGGATTCTCTCTCCTCTCATTCATAATATTGTAGTGTCCCTTTGGTAATGACTGCATCTACTTATGTGGAAAATACATCTTGGGAGATGTGTATCTCGATTCTTTTCACGTAATTTTGTCATCTGGAGATGAGAAAAGCTAGAATGAGCTCAATAGTCAGTGCTGTTCCCTGGCCTGCGCTTTGAGACCTGCTGGTGCATTTATTGAGCCTTCATTTATTATCTGTGGTAAGGAAGGTAGTTGGTATTTCATCTCTGTATCTGGTTTTAAGATTTAGGCAGGCTTTGTGTTTTTATTAGAGGTTCACTGATATATCGGTCTGTACTGGATCGGCATCGATAAAAGGAAAATTGACATTATTGGCAATTGGCTTTTTTTGGCTGGTGTAGCCGCTAATGTCACACTGATAAACACCATGTGCATGCACGCAGTTGAAGCATGCATGCAGCCAGGAATGCAGCCCACCAGCTTGGAGAGCAGCGTCTAGCTGGTAAATCTGTGAGGGGGAGAAAAGAGGCACAAAGGGGCAGATTGAGTGCCCCACAGTGAGGGAGGAGTGGGAGCTGGACTGGGGCACGGTCAGGGGCTGCCCAGCCAGGATAGGTCGGGTCACAGGATGGAGCTGCAGGGGCGGTGGGCTGGCTCCCCACCACTGCGCGCAGCCCCAGGAGGGCATGGGGGGGGGGTGCTCCCTGGATTTGTGCACAGGGTGAGGGTGGGCTGCCCACTCCAGGCTTGGGGCCAGGGTCCAAGCCAGCCTCTTCCTGGTGGAGGGCTGCGCTGGGTCTGCACGTGGGGCAGGTGGCAGCAGCTTTGGGAGGGTGAGCTATGGGGTGGGCTACAGCCACCTCAAAATCCTCTGCAGTCCCCCTGTAACCTTCTCCCAACACCACTGCCCACCCTGCTTCCACCTGCCCCAAGCACAGTCCCAGCCCCTGCACTGGGAAGAGGCCAGAGCAGCCTGCCTTGCCCCACACACAAATCCCAGGGGCACATGCTCCCCATGCCTCCCCCGGGGGTGCGTGGAGTAGTGGGGAGCCGGCCTACCCCACCCTGCCTGTGCCCCCTGACGAGCCACCCAAGGCCAACTGGAACCAACTTCCAAGCAAAGTGGTGCTGGCTCCTGCCCTGGGGGTCTTTAAGAGGAGGCTAGACGAACACCTTGCTGGTGTCGTTTGACCTCAGTACTCTTTCCTGCCATGGCAGAGGGTCAGACTTGCTGATCTGCTCAGGTCCCTTCTGACCCTACCAACTATGAAACTATGAAGGCTCCCTCCCACAACCTGCCCTGCCCTACTCTGCCCTGGCTGGGCAGCCCCTGCCCCAGCCCCAACCCCACTCCCTCACTCACCATGGGGGTGTTAATTTGACCCCCCCACAGCCCTTCCTTCAAGCAAACAAATCTAGCAGCTTGACACAAATGTTTCTATATCTTCATTTCAATGGTAGCAATTCTCCTTAGAAACTTAGAAGTTGAAGATAGAGGAGAGCTATTAGATAACATCTAGTCTAGTCTGTCCCTTGCAACACACTGTTGTTCTCTATAGATTATTTTCTACCATATTATATTTTCCAGTCTGGGTTCCTGCAGTATGATCCTCCTTAAGAGATGTGACTTCCTTATTTGGAGCCTAATAAAGCATCGTCTAATCTTTTCTTACTGTTGTATAGTTTCTACATGTCCTAGATCTTCCTAAACTTTGGTCTGTTACTGCTAGTTAACACTTGTACTACAAAAGCCAATTCCTCTTTTCTCTTTATGTCTTCTCCCTTCAGATACTATCAGTTGTCAGAATTATTTCTAAAGCCATTACATTTATGTGTGTAGGAGACTTTGATCCTTCAAGACCAAAGATAATAACACCTGATAATTTTAATCAAGGTTTGGAACATATACATTTTATCACAGGGTGCTGATTGGCCTGCTTCTCCTTGACTATAGGAACAGCTTCAAATAATGCTAATTAGAGCATTGTTTTAAGTCTGCATTATCTTAAAAATGAACAGGCTTTTTGTAAATGTTTTGTTTTTTTTCTCTTCAAGGAAAGAGCGATTGGTGTATGTGGGCATCAGCATAGAGAATATCATTCCACCACAAGTAAGTATTATTCTTTCATTTCCTAAACATTGTATTGCAATAAATAAGGGGGTGAGTGTACGTATGGAAGCATTGTTAATATAAGAATTTGTATAATTCTGAAAGAGGATGTGCCAGCATTGTTTAGGATCATGTTTGACCAAATGAGCCTACTCCAAAGTTGACGTGCCTTGCTGGACTGAAGTCTATATATAGTTCACTTCTCTTTTGGCGCATGTGTTGCTAATGTTAAACATTTGAGACCCTTTAGTATATCTAGTTCCAAAAGATAAAATTTCTGGACTTCTTGCTGAGAATGGCTTCTTAATAATTATCATCTGCTGTTATTAATCAATAACCCTCACCTGGCAACAGGGCAGAGACATTGGATACCTGGAATAAGTCAGCCATTTGAGAATGTAAGCCTTGTGCATACCTGTTATCAGAGAGGAAAATAGGACTGTTGTAGTTCAGTCTTCCTGACAAAAAATGCCCAAGGCTGACATGGGCTTCTAACCCTTCTGTCTTACTTTAACAGGAGCCAGAAATACAACAAAGTCCGGAGGAAAAGAAGAAAGATTCCAAAAAGCCAAAGTCAAAACTACTTGAAAGGAGGTCTACCAGAACCCGGAAATGCATAAGTTATAGGTAGGCAGCCTGTTTGAATGCTGATAAGAATGAAAATAGCTAGTGTTTGCAACTAAGGGCATTAATGATAATGTGCCTTTTCCTCCTCCCACCTGCTTTTCAAGTAGCGCTTACATGTAGCAAACAAACCAAAGGTAGGAGTCTTCGTTCTCACTTAAATACCATGTGTGCTTAGCAGTCAGAAAACAGAGGCATGTCTTCTGCGTCACATTGAATGAGTCACGTGTAAGAGTTGATGTATCACATTTAGTTCGGTGGCAAGGGAAGCACAGGCATTTTCAAGGTGACAGCATTCGTATTGAAGAATATGCAAAATATTGATGCAGGCCAATGGTTATCTATCTGGTTGAGAAAAGGTTAATACAAATGTCTGAGGTTTACCATTGCTCATTAGGGCTATGCATAGCTTCAGTCCCTGATTCGGTTCAGCAGAGATTTGGCCTGTTTCAGCAGCCAAATCGGCCTGTTCCACCAGCCAAATCTCCGAATCAAATCAGGAGACCCTTTAATCTCTCTGAATTGAATTGGAACCCTCCGAATCTATTTGGAGAGATTAGGAAAGATTCAGCAATTCGGACATAGACACAGCTTTAAATGTTTGTTCTACATACCTCTAGGTAGTAGGTGGCTTGTGAAAGTTGAGATGGTGGGGTGGATGGAGCATCCCACAGAAGCGTGGGGGGCTCCCCAGTGCGCTTGGCAGCAGACCCGGAAGTGGACCAGAAGTGCTGGTTCACTTCCGGGTCTGCCAGGGAGCGCACTGGCGCCGCCCCGCCCCCCTCCCGGATTGGCGACTGGTGTATTTTGGGTCTGGGGGGTCAATCGGGGTCCCCCTCCGCAGCCAATCGCTGAAATGGGGGGCGTGGGGGGGCCCTCCCAGTGCACTCCCCGGCGGACCCACAAGTGGACCGGAAGTACTTCTGGTCCACTTTCGGGTTCGCTGCCAAGCACACAGGGGACCTCCCCACGCTCCTGTGGGATGCTTCGTCCACCCCAGCATTGCAGTGTTCATGAGCCGCACCTGGTACCTTGAGGTATGTAGAAAAAACACTTAAAGCCGTGTCTAAGTCTGAATCACTGATTCTCTGAATCGGCATCGAATCTTCAGATTCGGATTTGGCCAAATGGAATTGGGGACAGCGATCCAAATCGATTAGTCGAATCACTGTCCCTGATTCAGGCCGTATCCAAATCGAATACGGCCCATTTCGCACACCCCTATTGCACATTTTCTTTTTATATTCCTCCTTCTCTTGGTAAGCTTTAAGAGCATGTACAAATACAATAAACACAAATACAAACTCTATAAGAGATAAAATAAGAAAAAATGAACTTTACCTCTATAGAGTAACTGTGACCTGTTGTATAATAGAAAGATAATTAAAGAATTAAAACTCTGTGGGCTCACCTACACGTCACCCTACATCGCTGTAGCACTGCGCTACGTTGCCATACGAAGTGCTATGGCGACGTAGCGATAATGTGAGTCTACACGTGATCAGCAACTACCTTGCTGTAGTGGTGGGCTCCCCTGTTTTAGTGTGCTGCTACAGCAAAGTAGCTGTGAAAACTAACCACGTGTTGCAAGCACAGCACAGTAGAGGAGGTTACTGCGCCATGCTTTAGTACTTTCGGTTGAAGTACTACCAAAAGGCAGTACTAAACCATGGTCCAGTAACAACGTCACCGTAGGGCAACATGTAGCCGCACCCTATGTGATTTAGACTTGCTACCCTGAGAGCAGAGCAATCGAGGCATCGGCACTTCCAAGTGCAGTTATTGCTAGCAGATCTTAAGATGTGTTTTTATGTATGTTATAAAACTAGTATCAATTACATACTGAAGTAGTTGGCAGTTCAGCTAGGTAGTGTGTGCGTAGGTGCCCAGTGTCCTTTTCTATTTCCCAAGGAGACTGTTGTTTAAAACCCTGCTGGTAACAACCATGTTCAGGCTGTACAGCTAGTTTGGTTCACTCTACAGTGAAGAAAATCTTTCTTCTGGTATTGGACATTGAATGCTGCCGATAATAGAGATTTTGCCACAGGCAGATTTTTACAGATTTCTTGTCATGTTTGTGATAGTTGAGGTGGCCATTGACCCAGCAGAAAACATTCTTGCCCAGAGGATATTTGACATGACTGCAGTGGGATTGCTACATCCTGCAAGGATAGCGGTTTTAAATGGAAATAATTTATTTTTGTTCAATGTTAATATGAAGCTCAGTATTAAAATATAAAATGATAAACAAGCATCTCTTATGCAATACATCACACTCGTGTCTGTGAGTTTATGAATGTATTCTGTATGTGTATTATTGGCATGTGACTTCAAATTCTCACAAAAAATTTAAGTCCTTTAGAGTTAATGAGAATTGTGCCTGTCCTCTTTCCACTGAGGGAAATAAATTGGGAAGTCTTGTTCTGCTCACAAACAGATTTATAAAATGTAGTGTTTTGGTTCTTTTCATCTATCTGATCCCTTTGTGTTGTCTGAATCATCTTAGTTTTTTGTTGAACAGGTTAGGAAAAATAACCTGCAGAAGAGCAAGGGATAATCCATTACACCTTTATATGAAAAATATATCAGGAGATATTTGATTCCTGAATACTTGTTAGCAGTGGTGTAGGAAATGTGAAGAATAGCCTGATTCTTCCAAACATGACATGCAGCTCATAAATTGTTTTAAGGGTAAAATAATCTCATTTATGAATACCTTAAAATAAAACTACTAAAGGAGTCATTTCAGAGTTACTTACCTTACCATAAAATAAATGTCCCTAGACAGTTAATCATCTTTCATTTACTTCTGCCTAATGTCATAGGCCAACTATGTTAGATAACCATCTAGCTGGGGTCATCTAGACCCAGCACTCTTTCCTGCCTATGCAGGGGATCAGACTCGATGATCTATTGAGGTCCCTTCCGACCCTAACATCTATGAATCTATTAATCTATCAACTAGCTTTTCACAAATCCATAGCATCTTCTAAGGAAAGCACAAGACCTAAATATCTAATGAAAGAGGAAAAACAAATGTTTTTAGACAAACACATGTCAAAGCATAAAGGAAACAGATCCTTTTTTCCCTGGTTTGCATGTCATTTTTAAATTTTACTTCCTCTGTGTATTGAGTCATGATCAGAATTGTAAAGGCTATGTAGCAGAAATATAGTGAATATTTTGCCTTTGACCTTCCCACCAAGTAATTGTAATATTATAGCAAATCCATCCAAGGAAGAATTCTATAAAGTATGTATCAGGGCAATTCAGCTTATAAGCAGCCAGGGACTGCATGCCACATGGGTTGTACCATCACCTCCAGTTTCACCATGCATGGGAGCAGCGTTTCCCCCCTGCCCCACATACACACTTGTATTACATGGGTGCAAGCGGATCACCCTACCACCGTGCTGCAAACACTGGAAGCCCCATGGGATGTTCCATCCTTCCCTGATGCAGGAGCAGGAAGTGAAAGCTGAGGGATTTTTACTGGCATATGTTTTACATAATGTAACTGTAACCCTTCTGCCAGGCCCTGGACAAGGACTGGTTTCAGATTTAGGAGTTTAACACCAACCATAGTAAAAATGTTTGGCTGTCAGTAAATAGTTTGCAGATTTTCAGTAAAAAAGTTTTCTTATGTTGGCAACCCTGTTTGACTGCAGTAGTGGTTTTGCACAGTATTGCTCTCACCCCAGGGTTTCCCTATTCACTTCCATGCCCTAATGCCCGTGAATGCACCCCACACCAGGTGGCCCCTACAGCATTACCTTTACTGGCCCTGCCCTCCACCGACTCCCAAAGAAGGACTGTTGTCTGCCTATCTTTGACCCAGCAGTGTTACAGGCAGATGGGATGCAGTAGCAGCACATGGCTGGGGGAAGGGAGCTACAGAGATTCCTGTGAGCCAGAGCCCTGACAGAAACTCCCTTCAGGATGCTGCACTCTTGCTCAGACACCAGGTGGTGCTGCCATGCTCTGTCTGTACATCAACACTGCCTGCAGCTTTTTTTTTTTTTAATGCCAGAGCTTCAATCAAGCTCTAGTGGCTTAGATTTTTAATGGATGGCTCGATTGCAGGCTTTACAGCCAGGCATTTTTAGCCTTGTTTTTTATTGTCCATCCATACATTTATGGACAGTTGGGAACCCCAGTTGCAGCAGCAGCCAAAGTGACAGGGGAAAGGTGCCTGGGTAGGAGCCTGTGGGCTGCCAGTTGGATGGCCCTGGCATATATTATTTGTTTAGTCTAAAATGTAGGTCATTTGCCTTACTCATTTGCCTCAGACACCTTGAATACTTAAGATGAAACTTGTATAGGTCTGTGTTGTAAGGCTCTCCTGTGAGATGCCAGCGCATTGCCATTTAAACAGAAAGCTTCGTAAAATCAACAAACAGTCTGTTTCTTTTGAAGAATTTTGCTGAAATAATTTTTTGACAGATTTTTCTGCTTTTAGAATTCAGCCTTTTAAATTCATTAGCACACTGGAAGATCAAAGTGTGCTTTGTGAGTATATTTTTCTAAATCACTAGTAACCCAACAAGGCAGTGATAGGTATGTTGCTAGCAGATGAAAATACTAAATATACTTTCACAAAACAAAAAATCTTTGAGAATCTGTCCGGCACAGAATGCATCTGTATGCTTTTACACTGATTATTTCACCGCTTTGTCTCAATGCTGGATTTTCTAAGGCACTTCAAATTCTTATTGCTGTTTTAGATTTTTGAGAGATGAATTCAGATGATATCTGAACTGTGCTCTGTCTCAAAGTAGTAAATGCAAGATATTGTTTTTAGATTCGATGAATTTGATGAGGCAATCGATGAAGCAATAGAAGATGATATCAAGGAAGCTGATGGGGGAGGTATGGGTTTTTTTACATATTCTATCTTCATTAAAATGGTAACAAGAAAGGGTCCTGTAGCACAAATTGTATTGTGCTGCAAGAGACAGTGGGTGTAATTCTCTCTTCTGATCACTCACAGCTTGGAATTTTTGCTACCGTACTTTTGAACCATACTTCCTGATTTTGATGGATTCAGGGAAATGGGCATCACAAACTAGGAAGAACTGTACAATGTGGTAGCTATAGAACTTTTATTAATAATTAATTACTCTATGTTTATACTCTTTTCAGTATAGAAACAATCAAGTACCAGGGGCCAAAATGATTACAATTGTTCACTAACTGCAGGAGGTCAGATTATGAAGTCAGTGGATGCTGCAGATATGTAGCTTCTCAGGAATTTGGGCCTTGATCTGTTTGCAGCCCAGCTGACTGCAGCTGTGGTGATATAGCCCAGCATGGGACTAGAGCAGAGCAGATACATGGAACCATTAGCCTGGTGCCTGGTGTGTAGAAGGGAAGCTGAAATCGGAAGCAGGGAGGGAAAATTTATTTAAAGTTGAATGAAAAATGCTAACATTCACTTGCAGGATTTTTTCCCCTTTCTCCCACTGTATCTAGGTGGTGGCCGAGGCAAAGACATGTCAAATATCACAGGTCACCGTGGAAAGGACATTTCTACCATCCTTGAGGAAGAAAGGAAAGAAAATAAGCGGCCCCAGAGGGCTGCTGCAGCACGTCGCAAGAAACGACGGCGACTAAATGACCTGGATAGCGATAGCAATCTGGATGAGGAGGAGAGTGAGGATGAGTTCAGGATCAGCGATGGGTAGGTTTGTGCTTAAATTACTAGTCTAGGTTGTTAAACACTAGATTTATGTCAATATTCAGCACTACTTATGCCAAGCATACAATGGGGATGCTTCACCCATGTGGGAATACTAATATACTAAGCTGAGAAGAAGCCCTAGTGGGGATGCAATTATATGCTGCACATGGTACCCGTATGGTAACATTTTCCTGCTTCCCCACAGCAATCTGTAGTATAGGCCTATCCTAGGTGATTTTTTGTGGTTTGAAGTTGTAACTGATGGTTTTTTGTTAGGCCTGGGCCACATGTAGATTTTTTACTGGTATTGCTGTTTTTGGTTAGGGGTGTGATAACTATATACCAGTAAAAGTCCTAACATGGCCATGTTAATATCATTATCAAAGTGTCTTATACCAGTGTAGTGATTCTGGTATAATAGCTATATCAGTTTTTAAGGTAGCTTTATAACCACAAAACTACATCTACATCAGGTGTCTTTTACCATTTAACTCTACTCTTTTAGCTAAAGCAGTAAAACTTCCTTGTTTAGACAAAACCTCCTGTGTAGCTTAGAATGATGAAGAACTGAAGCAGACTTGATGCTTCGTCTCTGATAGATTAAAGAAACCTATAGAACTCAATTCTTGACTTTTAGCATTCTAAGAATTTGAGGTTCAGAAAACCAGGAGAACTAGATGTGAAGACCAGAGAAAGGTAAACAGTTTACACTCTATAAAACATGCATTATATGAAACCTGAAATGTTAAATAGATATTAAACTGATTACAGATGCCTTCCACTCTGAATTTCTTTTCACTCCTTATATTACTTTCATTTCATTAGTTCTCTAATCATCTGAGTTCTCCAGAGCAGAAGTCATTTGAATTTCTAATGCTAAATATCATCATTTCAACCCTTATACCTCACAGAGAAACACAAAAGGGCTGTATTTTTGGCTGACAACATTTTTGGTTGACAGCTGTCCCTTTCCCATCTTGATTGGTTTAGAAATAACCTCTTGAAAATTTCTTGGGACAGATTTTAAGTATCTCTTGAAGTCATTTTCCACATGTGGGTATACTGAATGATTTTTATCCTGATAGTAGAACAAAATGTGCTGGAACTTTCCCAGTCAATGAATATAGCCTGCAAACATCTCATTGATTGATTTGGTATAGAGGGTTTACATTTTCAACAGTATTTTCTGTTAATTGCCTGCTGAATATTAGTTTAGAATTTGCATTCAGCTGTGGGAATTGGCTGTCCCCTTTATCCCAACAAGGATATTCTGCTGTTGTATAAATTAACTCATTCTTTAAACAACAGCAGTTCTAGAAGATCAGTAACGTAAACCTGTGAAGTAGAAGTAATTATACCATCTTTGCATAATTATATCATCTTTGCATCCATGATTATATCATCTTTGCATTTGGAAACGAGTGGTTTGATTTCCACAAGTCTATGAAACTGTTTCACAGATTGTGTTCCTCCTGAGTTATTGCTAACCCCCTGTGATACTAGAAGGTACAGCCATATTCTGTATAGGACATATACATTTGAAATCCTAGCTTTGTATGGCTCTTTAAAGAGTGCCTCCTGAGAATAATATTGACTTGAAGTCCGGGACAAACAAGACTTCACTATACGTAACCCCCCCCGCAATTTCAGTTGAAAACAGCATTCAGATTTACATAGGGCAGAACTCCATTGCCCTGGATCCATCTAAATGGCATTTTTCTAGCTGTGTAAGTGAAATTTTTGGAACTTAGGAACAAAATGTGATTCTAATTACCACTGCACTGTGGACACACAAGTGTGCATGTGTACAGTGAATGTGCTCAGTAGGCTATGAACTGTCTGGTCCTGTATGCATTCTTGTTCTGGGCAAATAAGTGTATGCAAGTCACAAAGATGTAGCTGAGTAGATGCTCATGACTTAATGGACATAGTGAAGAGGAGCCTCCCATGTGTTAGTGCCAGTAGCCAGTTGGTTATGGCCCTTTCCCAGGAAGCAAGAGACCCAAGGTCTGTCCCCCTCTTCCCTCCATGGGGGTTTAAACCTGCATGTTTTTTACTTCACAGCACAGGGCTCTAACCACCCCTCCCCACCCCAGCATTATTCGTTCTCTTTTCCATCACTCCTTCTGAAACTGGCCCTGGGCAGGCAAGAGACAGACATGTGGGACCAGGAAGTGATGTGTAGTTCACTGAGGTGGCTGGTGTCCTCATAGGACAATGCCGTGGATTCTAATCTGGACCTTTGCTCCAAATGGGGCAGAAACTTCCCAACAGCATTGCTTAATAATCATTTTATTCAATGACTGTTAAATGCTGGAGAGGGGTCTGAACAACGACTGACCTGTGGTATGCTAGGACCACGTATGTGCTAGAAAACATAGGTACAAACACCCTCTGGGCAAGGGAGTTGAGGCTAGAATCCAGATCTCCTGCTTTGTGGGCAAATTTCCTAACCACTCAACTGTTGGAGCTCAGACGTGGGAGGCCTCCTTCTCATGCTTTTCCCAGACTTATACTCAGGTACTGGCCAGTACACAGCCTTCCACAGTGCTAGGCGGGTAATAGAACAAAGACCTGTGGTTAAGTGCTGAAAACGCTGCATGCAGTGATTGCAATTAAAAACAAATTTTTTTTGCAATAATCTTGTGTCCATTTAGGCGCACAAAGGGATATAGGATTTTTCCCGTACTGTCCTGATCTGCTATGCAGTGTTACGTACTGTGAAGCCACCTCCAAGTACACAGGTGGTATTTAATGTCAGGGATGGGCGTAAGCATTCATTAGCTTGCATTAAGGTTGAGAAGACTCGTTCACTTTTGTGAAGCACTCTTTAAGATTCCCAGATAAAAGTGGGTGTAAACACGTAATATGGAAACAACATCCACAGCTGTTATAAACTGCATTACATACGTAGTCAACTTTTATAATATTTTAATATGTTTGTTTCAAGTATTTCTCTTTTGGCTGTCATTTGTCTTTTAACAGATCTCAGGATGAGTTTGTGGTATCAGAGGAGAACTTAGATGAGAGTGAAGATGACCCACCGTCGAATGACGACAGTGATTCAGAGTTCTGCGCCCGCAGACCCAAGCGGCACCACTCCAGGCCGATGAGACAAAGCAGGCGGTTACGAAGAAAAAGAGTCAGGAAAAACTATTCAGAGGATGATGAGGAGGAAGATTCTGAGGACAATATCAGTAGGGAGTCTGGTGAGCAGAACTCTTTTAAACAGAGTTAAATGTTGTATGTCAGAGAAGAGGGCCTGACCAGAGGATTGGATACCTCAGATTTTTTGAGTTCTGTTCTTGGCCTTGACATTGAATTGTTATGTTGCTTGGGTTAGGTTATATGTCATCTTTGCTCTAGTATTCCTTTCTGCAGGATAGAGGATGCCTTGTGTGACAGAGGTGTTTGATTAATCTGATGTCTTTGTGAGGCATTTGGAATATGCAGAGTGCCATGCAGGTACAGATTCTGTAATGGTTATTTCCCTACTGTGATATACTTGTCAAGGTTTCCCTTTGCTCTGAATGGTGTGCTGTGAATGCCCACAGTGTTGCGTACTAGATTCTTAAGGAACGCTCATTTTTAAATGCATGGGCAAATTGTGAAAGCAAAATAGTCAAGTGCATGCAGAATTTAAGTTTTCCCATTGTATCATTAACTGTTCTGCTTCCAAGTGCTCGTTTTCTGAGTAGGCAAAATTGGTATTTCTTTTGAAGACGTGGCTCTTTTTCTACCAGTTTTTTAAATGATTTCCCTCTCTTTCCTTGGAGACCTGTTGATATCTCATGGAGAACCCTGAAAGTCTTCCACTTAAATTCCTTATTTAGTATAGAAGAATAAATCCTCCAACTGCATGAAGTGGTGGGTGACAGTTTACTGTCTGAAGAGTTGGTTAGGTCTGAAGAGCTGGATCACATTAAAGTAACAACAGAAGTTTTAGAAGAAATTTGTTCTAATAAGTTGCCAGGGCCAGATGGCATTCACTCGGGAGTGAAATTGTAGAACTACGGCCAGTAATATTTAACCTGTTGTTACACACAGCCCCTATGTCAGAGGACTCCCAGGTTGCCAGAATAACACCCACTTTCACAAAGGGCTCCAGAAGTCATTCTCAGAATTACAGACCAGTCAGTCCAATGTCCAAGCTCAGCAAGTTGGTAGATTCTGTAATAAAGAATAAAAAATAAAATCAACAGTCACATGGAAAGATGATCTGCTGGGGAAGAGTTGACATGCTTTTCGCAAAGGGAAATCCTGCCTCACCAATCTGCTGGAGTCCTTTGAGGTTGTTAACAAGCGCATGGATGAGGGGGATCCAGTTGACATAATATATCTGAATTTTCAAAAAACTTTCAACAAGTCCCTCACCAAAGGTTTTTAAAAACAAATGAACTGCCACGGGATTGGAGGGAAGGTTTTTTTCTGGCTTGAGAGCTGGTTAAAAGATAGGAAGCAAAGGGTAGGGCTAGATGGTCACTTTTAAAGATGGAAGAAAGTCAGAAGTGGAGCTCTGCTGGGATTCAGTGCTGGACCCAGTTTTGTTCATCATTTTCATCAGTGGTTTTGAAATAGGGGGGGCATAATGAAAACTCCAAGTTTGCAAGTGATACTAAGTTATTCCTAGTAGTCAAAGCCCAAGCTGATGGAAAGGAGCTGCAGAAAGATCTCACCAAGCTAAGTGAGGGGGCCAAAGGATGGCAGATAAACTTCAGTATCGACAAATACAAGGTAATACACATGGGAAAAATCACCTCAACTATAAATATATAACTCTGGGCCCTGAATTAGTTCTTATGACTCAGAAAAGAGACCTTGGCGTCACTGTGGATAGTTTGCTAAAAGCATCAGCTCAGTGTGCGGCAGTGACCAAAAAAGCCAATGAAGTGCTGGGCATCATTAAGAAAGAATTGAGAACAGACGGAGAATATCATTCTGCCGTTGTACAAATCCATGATGTGCCCACATCTTAGATACTGGGCATATCTACACGTGCGCTTTACTGTGGAGTAGACTAATTCGTTCCACGGTAGAGTGTCACTGTCTACGCATGGGCTGCAATTAGGGCATGGTAGGCTAATTTACTCTGGCTTAGGATAGTCCTGTCAGACATAAGTACTATCCTACACTGGAGTAAATAACTGTGATTAAATGAATGTGTAGATGGTGATGTGAGTGCAAATTGTGTCCAGTAAGCCAAGCCAGCAGGGGGCCAGGCTCCAACCTGCTGCTGATCCTTAACTGCTCCATCCGAACTCAATTTGCTCCTGTCATTGGGTGCACATTCAGACACTATGCCTGGATTAGTTTACTCCGGCGCAGTTTGCGTGCATACCCACTGTGTGCAGTTCTGGCCTCTGCATCTCAAAAAGGATGTGGTAGAATTAGGAAAGGTGCAGAGAAGGGCAACCAAAATGATCGGGTATAGAGCAGTTGCCATACCAAGTGAGACTGAAAAGGCTAGGACTCTTCAGTTTGGAAGAAGAAAGCTGAGGGGAGATATGGTAAAGGTCTGTAAAATCATGAAGGGGGCTGTTACTCATAAAGTCCCAGAATACTGGAACTAGAGTATTGGAGGGCATCCACTGAAGTTAGTAGGAGACAGGTTTAACACTAACAGGAGAAAGTATGTTTTTATGCAGCGCATGGTTAACTTGTGCAGTTCATTGCCACAGGAGGTGGTAGAGGTAGACAACATAGACTGGTTCAAAAAGGGACTAGGCAGATTTGTGGATCTGTTGGTCATGAATAGCTGGTAAGTCAGGGACGCATTCTCTGGCATCTTTAAACCAATGATGGTGGATGCCAGGGCTAGATATACCCTCTTCATGTGCTTTCCTTCCAAAGCATCCATTCCTCCCGTTGTTAGAGAAGGATAGTGGGCGAAGTGGTCCACCAGCCTGACTCGGTATGGCACTTATGTTCCTATGTTCATTCTTATGTCTCTAGCAGGGGATGTCAACTGGACCCATGAGCCAGATCTGGCCAGCGGAGCTATTGTATCTGCCCCGTGAAGCTGGGAGGCTTTGGCAGCCTTTCTCCGGTGGGGAGAAGCTGTGGCAGCGCTACTGTGGGGGGAATGGTGACGGTAGCTGCAGTGACAGTGATGCAGCCACACTCAGAGTGAAGCTCCATTAAAGCAGCCTCCACTCCAAAACATTGCCACCTCTGTGATCAAAGTCAAGACAAAGCAATGATGATAGAAATCCCTTTTGGCTTCACAGTTTTGGGCCTGCTATGTTTTTCTTTTGATCTTTAAGGACTAGGAACACTTGTATGTCAATAGCACCTCTGTTCCTTTGCAGCTTGCCTTATAACACTGTTCCCCAACCACAATCCATCCTCTGCTTGTGAAATACCATCAAGTGCATGAAAATGATTCTTGTCCAGAGAAATAAGCAGTGAAAATGAATGAGTGATGGGGAGAAGATTTTTATCTTGTGTAAAATTGGGTCTACTAATAAAGGAGGACTCAAAATAGAAAATATAACAGATTTATTTATCTAAAAAATGCACTTTCATAGATTTCTTGAGGGGGTAGCATCTCTTTAGAAAGCTGATTCTGTAGTACTGCTTCATTTTGGGCACAGGCATGCAAAGTGCCATGGGCCCTAAACTTTCATTGCAAGCTAAGAGCACTTGGTACTGTGCAGAATTCACTCATCACATGTCAGTGAATGTCCTTTCAACTGTTCATATCCATTCTTTTAACATCAAATGTACTGCAGACTGACATAAGTTATAGCTGAAGTACTTACCTCCAAAAAGAATTGTAACAAGTAGGCAAAATAAGAAAGGTATAAAAGCTTACAGTAATTGTTCCTTTCTAGTTTTCTCCCTATTTTGCTTGCTCTTAAGTGATATGCAGCAGCAGTAACTTGTGATTCATGGAAATATGTGAACAACTGATATTGAAGCTTAAAGAATATGGAATCGTTGCTAATCAGCATCTTAATGCTGCTGAAAGCTTGGGAACAATTAGTATTGGTTTGTCCGTGACAAAAATCACCACTCTGTCACAGCCCCCAACAAGCACCCTTTTTGACAGGCAGCAGAGAAGCCCAGGACTGAGGTTCCCTGGGTATTAAAGTCTCTTCTCATCTCGGGTCTCATATCTGGTCCCTCAGTGGCAACCTGATGTTGTGAAGGCATACGCTACTGCTGCCCAGTCTGCATTTGTTTTCTGGACAAATTACTTCTTTTAACTTCTGACTTCTTTTTGGGTGTTGGTCCCGTTCTTTTCACAAGACAGAATATCCCTTCCAGGGCAGTGGCCCTCTTCATCTGTTCTTTTCCTGAGTCCTTGTCATGCTTTACACTGAGATTAAGGAAATTACCATCACTGAGAGCTGTCTTGCTTTGATTTCTCAAGTATCTGGGGCTTCTAATTGAGCCCTCTTAATATGTTTGAAGGGAGGGGGGGACCTTTTTAAATTGTAAGTCACTTCAGCCAGTAACACAATATGGCAACTTGTGCTAGGTCCAGAAAATCAGTACTGTGCTCTTGGGTAACAATTTTGAGACAGCTCAAAGAAAAGAGCTCTAAATTTGATTCATATCCTCTGGCTGTTTTCAGTTGTTGCAAAAGGTGACTAATGCACCCCCAGCAGGGTGCTGAGTGTCTGGAGCCTCATGCTGGGAGAACTGGAAGTGGCAATAGGTTGGTTTTTGTGAAGTCTCTCCTCTGGTTCTTCAGTCATACGTTCAGCTTCATTTCCATACCTGTGTGGTAGATCTCACTGTTACAGATAAAATGTTCTGAAGTTGGCACTTGCATACAATTTAGTTTTGTTCCGTTGGTTTCTTTTCACGCGTATTGTCTCCAAATGGCTTGAATAATTAAATTAAAATAGTGGGGGTGTCAGGGGGAGAAGTATTGTCCAGTGAAAATTGAAAGGAGCATGTGCCATTGACTCAGATTCATGCAAGTAGTCCCAGCTGGCAGGGAGGGCATCATTTGCATCAGTAGGGGTGAGATTATATGAAAAATTCAAAAGGAAACCAGAGCTAGAGGAGTGGAGAGAGAGGCTTCCATGAGTGACTGGAGCAAATCCACAGTGGATTTTCGAAACAGGGGCAGTTTTGAGCTAGAAGTGAATGGGTGGCCAGTGGAATAGTATGGCCCTGGAAGAGGTCATCATAATGACCATCCCATTTTAGGTGTGGTGGTCAAGATCTTCCTGTGCCTGAAGAGTGCTCCATTCTGTTAGGGTAAATCTGAATCTTGTGTAAAGTGGCATGCACCTAGTTTGGGTCTGTGTGTGTTCATTTTAACAGAATAATGCACGTGGTTGTTTCTTTCCTTCCTTACAGACAGCGGTGATTATACAGACTACAGTGACGATGATTACCTGGAAACTAGGCGGAGAAGATCCAGGAGGAATCAGAAGAGACAAGTGAACTATAAGGAGGATTCAGAAAGTGATGGCTCACAGAAAAGTGTCCGATATGGAAAGGAGTTAAGACGAGTTCATAAACGAAGGCTTTCTACTTCGGACAGTGAAGGTAAGAGGGACGCTCCACCCTCTGAAGAGACAAAGATGTGACCATTTACCTAAGCAGAAAAATATGGGGTGTAACAAATTCAAGGCCCTGCTGTATTGGGTGCTGTTAGTCAGAGGCATACAGAGATTTTTTCCTGAGCTCCTTGACATTTCCAAACAGCTAATACTGGGGTCGGCAATGTTTTTGGGCAGAGTGCCAAAACACCCGCAACAACGACTTGCAAGATGTTGGCATGCCAGGAGGAGACAGCGGGGGAGCTGCAAGGGCCCAATTCTTGTTGTGGCAGCACAGCCCCAGCTCCTTCCCCGTCATCTGCCCCAAGGCACGTTTGCCAAGTAAAATACCTTCGTGTACCACTCTTTGGCACCTGTGCCGGGGATTGCCAACCCTTGAGCTAATAGATCCTTTTCAAGCCATCTGTAAATATATAACAATGCATTATGACATGTACTTATCAAAATCTCTATTACTCCTGACTTTCTAGTAGAAAATTGCTTCACCTGGTCAGGAGTGTTGGGATCCTGCAGTAGGATAGGTGACTGTTTTGGAAGAAAGGAGCATTTGTTATTATTCAGTTGCAAAATCACAAAGACCTGTCCCTTGTAGTCATTAAATATTTCGCTGGTGAGAATAAGGGTATTAATCCTGGTGTTATTTCTGGAGTGCTGGTAGTATTCAACTTGGTATCTGTGTTCTGCCCCCCTGCATTCCCCTTGTAGTTGTAATTAAAGCTTTCCTTGTCTCCCATTTTAAACTCCTGGCGTGCTGCTTAGCACAGATAAATAGTTGTTGCATTTTTTCACAGAGGACGCGGTGCCTCAGTAGTAGTCAACGTGATATCTGTGAGTGGTCTGTGTATTAGTGTAAGGCCAGAGCTTTCAAAAGTGGCCGCTAATATTCAGTGCCTTGCCTCACGGGTACCCAATTTATGAGGCACCTTGGGTCTGACTTTCAGAGGTGCTGAACACTGTTGGCTGAATAAACTGACTGCTGTGGATACTCAACTCTTCTGTAAACCAGGTGTTTTGTGGCCAGTTGGGCATCCATAACTAGTGGTTGTTCCTGGAAGCATTTTATAAACTCAGTCCCACAAAATAACTTTTAGTCCTTTCCCCCACATGGGATGTAGAGATGTCATTTGGTAAGAATGAGCTCAGTAGTATGATCGATTTCAGCCCTTTGAAGTCTAGACTTTTGATTTGCTAGTGCCTAAGTGATACCTATTTTGTATGAAAACTTGCTTTATAAGAAATTTATGGTACTAGCTTTTCATCACAAAAGAACAGTTGCTATTTCCTAAAAGCATGTTAATGCATGGTGTATGTAAAAGTGTCACTGGAAATATAATTACCTGCAAAATTTCTTATGGAACCATAGGAGAGACTATTCAAATAAACCAGAGGCTACTTGGACCTGTGTTGCACTTCCTCGAAGCGAGCATGCTTTTCGCTGATGATGGCCCAATAGTGTTTGATTTTCTATCCTAACTCTTCTTACCCAGGCCATCAGAAGCTAGAAATGTTGAAAGGATAAAGCCAGGCTCTCCCTATTCAGGGAAAAGCCCTTGCTTTCATCCAAGAGCAAACCTCCCAGCGCAGAATGAAGGGAGGAGTGATGGGGGAAATAAAAAGCGCAATTGTAACTTTGTTGCCTACCCTCAGATTTGCTAATGGCTTTAAGTCTGCTACTTGTTCCAGAGAGCTACCTGTCCAAGAACTCTGAAGACGACGAACCAGCAAAGAAATCCAAGCGGTCGATCCGAAAGCGCAGCCGGAGTACAGACGAATATTCGGAAGACGAGGAAGGGGATGAGCAAGAGGAGGGGAGACCTGTCCGCAAGCGGCTGAATCGAATCGAGACAGACGATGAAGATAACTGCGACAGTGCTAACAATGACGTGGAGAAGCCTGCTCCTGCTCATAAGCTATCGGTGCCACATGCTCCTCACGACAGCATCAAGAAGCCCTCCTACCGGATAGAGAGTGACGATGAAGATGACTTTGATAATGTAGGAAAAGTAGAAAGCCCGTTGGACTACAGCCTAGTGGATTTACCTTCCACCAATGGACAAAGCCCAGGTAAAACAATTGAGAACTTGATTGGCAAACCAGGTGAGAAGACCCAAGCCCCCAAGGACAGCACAGCCAATGCTAGCCTGGCACCCAATGGGACAGGGAGTGGGCAGGAGGCAGTAGGTCCAGAGGAAGAGGAAGATGAACTTTTGAGAGTGACTGACCTGGTTGATTATGTCTGTAACAGTGAACAGTTATAAGACTTTCTTCCATTTTTGTGCTAATTTATTCCACGGTAGCTCATACCAGCGGGCCAGTTGTTAAAAGCTGTTTTATTTTTCCTAGAAAATTCTCCACTACAGTATCACTTTTTAGAAGCAAGAATTTCACCAGTCCTGCAGTCTTTCTGTGAAGTGACCAGTTTTGAACTTTGAAGATAAATTGCTGTAAATTCCCTCTCAATTTTTTTTTTTCCCTCTCCTTCCAAGTCCATGGTCCTGGGTAATTTCATTCACCAAAACGTCACAGCAGCAAGAGATTTGTATATTTTTGACTTTATATTTCCTGAGGGCATACAAATTTGTGGCAACGGGTGGCCTAAGAAAGCATTCCAAACCCATCAGGGCCCAAAGTGTAACGGGGCAGGGCTAGCGGGGAGGGAGGGGTCCTGGAAGCACTTGTGCTTTAGCTTTTTCATATGAGATATATATTCTATTTAAATGTTCACAACTTAGATTACAGTTTAACAGACAGGTTCAGCATTAACATCTGTACTGTTCATCTTGTGAGTTGTAAATTAACATACCATAGCTCGTTTTAGTAAATCACCTTCATGAAAGCAGTTTGATTTAATACCGGAGGCAACCACGGTTAGAGGCCAAGAAAGTACCATGAACACCAACTCTAGTATCCATTATGACTTGCAGTTTCCTAATAAACATCCTTTAAAGTGTTTGTACAGTAAAGTGTACTGTAATGAAGTTTTGACAGTTGAAACGTGCTAGCAATGCATTTACAAAGCTTTTCCACACGTAGTCCATTAGATGGCTTGTCACATACGGTGTCTGATGGAAGGAAATATCGAAAGGATGTTTGTCTGTAAAGGGAATAGCTTCATTGGGGTGCTGTGCGCTTTTGCAGGCAACAGAACAAGTAACTGCCTGGCCTTTTGAGTTTTATCTGTCCAAGTATTTGGAATGGAATATGTTTGTACATACTGCATTGACCACAGGATTACGACACATCTGATGATGGGGGGATTTTCAAATAAACCTTGACTGGTCCATTCATGTCCTAAATATCTACTTCAAATTGAAGTAAACAAATGGAGCAGTTTTCCTTTTGGAGGTTTTCTGTTTTGGGTGTGTGCGTGTGTTTGTTTTGATTTACTTATCTGCCTGGATGTATTAGCAGGTTTTGAATGTAGTGTTGGCCTTTGGCCATTAGAATTTTCTTAATATACATTTTAATAATTGTCACGTGACCAGCTGATTTCAAGAAGGCAGTATTTCTGGGAGAAAACACTTAATTCCAAGGGCCGATCAACTTTGGAGTGGACGTGCAGTGACATGTGCTTGTATTCAAGTGTAGAGACTTTAAAAATCCTGGACAGCTTACGCAGCACATAATGAACAGCAGAGGTGCAGGTTGTTTGTGGTAAAAATTGGCTTTCTCTTCACTCTACAATAAGATGCAGGCTGCGGTGCTTGAACATGTTGCAGCACAGAGACGGCTCAAACCCATCTGCCAAACATTGAAATCCAATGAGGTCACATCTGTTAATCCTTTTGCTCTGAGATTTGGAATTTTTGTCTGGTGTTATGTCCATTGCCGGCAATGGATGCACCAGATTTGCTGCTGGCACCAAGGAGTGAGTTCTCCTTCCCTGCCCCACCCAGCTCCCCAACATAATATTGTATTTCCTAGTCAGTCAGTAGTTAAGCACTTCTGTTTTATTGTAATAAAACTGGCATTAGGCCTTTACAAAATACCTCTCTAGAAAACCTAGATCCAAAAAAACTTACCTTCTCGCCTTGAAAGTCTTGTTTTTGTTGCTGTTTTTGTTTCCCTCCTTTTCCATGCGAGTTCTGTAGGACCCACTCCATTCATATTATTCATTTGAAATCGAGCGGTGCATTTATCCTTCTATAAAACTAGAATCGTCAGCATTGCAAAAAGGTTTGGACCGAATCATTATTTGCTGTGCTAAGCCAGGTTTCAGACCTAAAAAAATTTTAAAAAAATTCAGTTTCTAAATGAGAGTTTGTTCGATTTGAATTAAACGCAGTGCTTTTTCCCATCATATCAACTTGCTAACAGGTTAACGCATTTCATTATCAGATGTTAAAAAACAGGGTAGTGAAAAGCCACAGAAGTTTAGAAAGTGTTCTTAAAGCTTATGTAGCATTTTAAGCTACTGTATATGGGTTTTTTCCCTTTGCTTAGATGATGCATAAATGTAGCCCACCTACATTTCTAACATCCATGCATCTTAAAACAAGCCAGACCACTGGCTTCCTTTCTCCAGTTTTAGTCATTGCTGAACGTGTTTGCTATTTGCAGTGCAAACTGGCTAATCACGTGTAGCAGCATTCTGTGCGGCCATGATTTTTCAGTTGTTTGGGCAGTGCCATAACCCTTTCACTGCTTGACTTTGCCTTTTGACATCTGATCAGTGCAGTAGCAAACAGTCTTGTTTGTAGAGTTCACGCTGACTTTCAGCTATTTAGTGGGCAAGTCCTTTAAATGTAGTAAAAATGCAGAAGAGGTGGAAGGATTGGATACAGTACCTAGGAAGAAAATCGGATGCTGGCTCTTACTCATGGGAGTGGTGTGAAAGCAAAAAGATGTTAAAAAGGTCAATTGGTACTAATGCCTTAGCCGTGAAGCAGGAGACAGTGTGTGCAGACTGTAATACTGTTCTTGAGTCTGATTGCTCATGCAGCCCTTTTATAAATCAGCCTTTCTGGTTGATTTGAAGGTTTCTAGGGCTCCCTTGCATAGCAGTGGGAATCTTGTCCAATTAAATCCTGCAGAATTTGGCTTAAAGAGGGGGCCTGAATTTTCCCCCTCCTGTTGTGAAGATGTTCTGTTTAATGGGAAATATATAACACCCCCTTGGAAGTCTGCAGTCCCCATGAGCGCAGACCAGAATAATGGTGCATTGTACGGGTAGCCACACCAGATCACGTCCTACTGTAATCAGTCAGGACTGAAGAGCAGTGCCTTTGGATTGCTCCACAATGATTGCTCCCCTTCACTTCAGTTTAAGAATCGCAAGATCAAACAGCTTTACAATCAACATGGAAACTGGCCTTGAGGGTTTTTAACCAGCCAGCTAAATAGAAAAGAAATCAGCAGACATGAGTCCTATAAGTAATCAAATTATTGCACAAACTGACATGCATCAGGATGTTACTAACAGCTGGCATACGGCATTTGTTTTTAATTGAACACTGTTTTAGAGCAGAGCTGAGTGGTAAGTTAGTTGATTTTAAAGTGCAATTTGGGTTTTAAGTGGGTTTGGGGGGGTGGGCTATAAATTAAGGGAGCAGGGGTGGGGGTGGCAATTTTTAATCCATATCACAAGGATGAGAGACTGGTATTTGCTGGCTTGCAAACAGCCGGTATGGGCATTGAGGACTTAAGTGCACTGTGGCTTTACTTCATGCTAAAAGGATGTGATGCAATAAACTAACCAAACTCATAATATAAGACTTGTCTGTTAAAAAAAATACAAATTTAGAGGCAGGTGGCATCTCTTGGTTCAATGATAATTATAGGAAGATCAGTGCTAAACAGTTTATCTCTTGGAGCATCTGATAGTTCAGAACTGCGGCCATTAACTCACATGCCAACACAAACATGCCTTCCTGATCCTGCATCCAAAGCTTGCTCTGTTCTGATGGCACATAAGAACAGGGATTTTTTTTTCTGAATCATGTGTTTATCAGGTATATCACCTTCTTCAAAGCTTACTTAAGGTGCCTCAGTTGCTTTTATGCTAATTTGATCTAACTGTTTAGCTCGGCTTCTCTTTTTCCATTTCCTATATCTGAACTCCTCACAGGGACACCTTGTTATTCAAAGAATGTCACAGCAACATAGATGTTCATAAAAGGGGCAAAACCCTCCCCCCATAACCTTTGCATGGTTGTGGTACAATATTTATGATTTATCTTAACATTTATCATTTGAACTACATTACTATCCAGATCCATTATAGAGCTCTGTCTTCAGGCTCTTCCCACTTGGCCTTGAATGCTCTTCAACAGGAAAGCTTGGCCCAAAATAAATGTTCACAGATGTGTGTTATTGATGTGTAAGATGCAGTGGGTGTCCTAGCGATGTTTCTCTATCAGAATACGTCCAGTTCATTGGGTAAATAAAACCTTTTAAATGGATATATCAAAATATAAAACCTTACCTCCTTCTAGCAGCAACAAACCTCCATTGAAGAAATTGGTGGGGTGAGCCCCAGTAATTCTTGTGGAAAAGCCCGGTCCCTTCCATAGGGGACTGCTTCTGGGGAAGTCATCGAGATACTCATTGGCATAAGGGTGTATGGACTCGCACTCCAATTTCTTGGTACAATCCAGGAGATACTTGGTGCTGATCTTACCTTGTGACTTGCACCCTTTTCTTGAGTGAGGCTATGGGATGTGGTTCTTAAGTCATGGAAGCCAGGAAAGGAGAAGTTATCAGAGAGAAGCCTTAATGTTCATTGAGCTCACTTTGGTCATATGTATGGAACTAATTTTTCAAAAATGACTAATGATTTTGGATGCCTCTGGTTCTGGGTATTTGATCCGAGATGCATAAAGGCAGTTGACTTCAGAAATGGCAGAGCACCCACTTGCTGGAGATTGGACCCCTCCAAGGAGCCTCACACTGGACACCCAGGATAGGAGACACGGTGCATCTACACAAGATGCTAAATGCTCAGTAGACTAATTCTACTGCGCATTAGCACATCACAGCAAAAGCTGTGTAGTTGTGCTAATGCGCAGTAGAATTAGTCTACCACACATCAACATCACTTAAAAGGTGTGTGCAGGTGCTACTGTGCAGTAGCACTGGTTACTGTGCATTTAGTTGGTACCTGTTATTAAACTTAATGCGCAGTAACCAGGGTGGATTAATGCACGTGTAGACGTGCCCACTGAGAAGCACTGGTCACTTTTGAAAACAAGTTGCTTGTTAAGCTCTTAGTCTAGCAGAACTGCCTGTTTGAATGGGAGAAGTCCAAACAGCAGAAACCAAGTTTGCCTGGGAGTTGAAATAATTGCCCTGACACTGCAGAGTAATTTAACTTATTTTGTACATTGCGAGAGATTTATATTGCTTAGAATGACATTTAAAACTCATGTACAGCTTCTGAAGGAAGAAATAGACCCCTCTAAAGTAGATGATGAGTATGTACAAATAAACACGTGAGAGGCTCGAGACATAAATACAGCTAAAAAATGTACGAACACCCGGATTTCTCATTACCATTTTGTAGTGGGGGCCAAAGCAATGCAGTCAAAGAGGCCACGTACTTAGTGAAGGCACTTGGGTTCTGCAAATGTACCTGCTATTGCTACAGGCCCCCCCAAGGGTTACTGATGGGAACTGCTGTTGCTGGGTTTTTTTCAGTTTACCTTGTGCACTGGAGAGCACTTTGTGTATAATCAATCTCTATGGTTCCCCAAGCATAGACAGAGTTACTTTCCCCGTGTAAGTGGATCCCTAAAAGAGCATTGAGGAGTAGGGGTGAGCGGATTCAAGAGAGAAACATGATTGCAAAAGTACAGTGTGGCAGGAGAGGACTCAAACACATGTAGTTGTACCTGAGACCACTGAGGCACTCCTCAAAACTGACCGGGCTTCAAATCAGTGGTGTCAGTTGAAGATGATCCCAAGACCCTCTTCACTTCACCTTTATCCTCAGGCTGCATAAAAACTTCTGGAAGGGGAGGGGGCAGGTATGCACTGCAGTGATGGGGACATTTTGGATCGGTACATAAAATGCTGCAACAGTGTTTGGCTTTGGGGCACTCTGGTGGAGGTGACACTGTTGCTCTGATCTTTATTGCTTGTGTTACAACCCAAGCAGGTGAACTGATCAGTGATGCGTAGGTTAGTCTGTCAGAGCATAACGTAAGTGGTTCAACAGGCATAAAGCTGTTCTACTAAACCATGTAATAGGCCTAGTAGCAGTGCACCATGTATTAGCTATAGCAATGTAAGGTCCTGAATAGATACTAATCTACTACTCAAGGTAATGTGATAGGAAAGGAAGTCAGATCATAAATCTATATGCCTTCATTTGTTTTCTATTTCATACTCATGACATGGACTCTTAAATCTTGTACAGTATCTTATTCTTATACTCTATTAATTGAAATGGTACTTCCTCCCTCTTCCCCCCCCCCCCAAAAAAAAAACCAAAACAAAACAAAAAACCCTTATATGAATATGATTTCTGTAAATGCCAATGCAATTCACCAGTGTTTCACAGCCCTCCTTTAAAAGATGCACGTAGCAGCTCTCCTATGGTATTTGCCTGATTCATAAAGTTTAATGTCCCTGTTTTGTTGTATGATTGCTCTCAGAGAGAGACAGATCCTGTGCGTTATACCTGATGTTCGTGTCTGTACGCTCTGTCCCAGCAAATATAGAACAGATTACTTGCTAGCAGAATGGCTGTTACCCAGTACTCAGTGAGAACCAGGTCAAAATAGCCCAATAAGGCTTCTGAAAATTTAAAATGTGCTTACATGAAATACAGGTTTGGGTCTTAGGCCTGTGTGCTGTTTAAATGTTTGCAGAGAAAACTTACAATTCCTTAAGAGTTCACATTCATATATGGCCTCATTCTTATTTTCTTTCTCTTCAAAGGTAACATGGTAAAGTCCCAAAAATTTAGCTCTTCGTAGAATTTAGCTCTTGCCTTGCTTGAGTCCTGAACCTTTATGATGATGATTTTTTTTTTTAATCTCTCTGAAATCATGACTTGCTAAAATGTTGAGGGGGGAGGACTGAGGGTCATGCACTGTGTGTGTGGATGAGGAAGTGTGCTGGAAAAACTGGATTCTTGTTGCACATTGGATGGGTGGTGCTTTCGCTGGTTTCCCCCCCACTGCTGATCTCACATGCATGGAACACATGATGCGTTCAACACTTTTTAAAATGGAAGTCATGGTGGCCTCAGTGCTCAAAGGGTTAACTGCAGTTTAATAACAGCTCCTGTTTTTAGATTTGCAGTACACAACTGTTTAAATACTGTATTCCTTGTAAATTAAGTAAAAAAAAATGTTAAGGCTGGTGCCAATATTTTTGTTAATGAAATGTTCAATGTTGTCTCTCACTACAGTCTGGTCAGAACTCTTTGTGTATAAGCTGGGCCTGAAGCCATTTTATAGCTTGTAGGCCTAATTGTGTAACTTTTTCTTTCATAATGTTTTTGTTATAATATCTACTGTCATTTCTTTCATATAAATATGACATGTAAATTGTCATAATAAAAACATTTAAATAACTCAATGTACAAAGTATACTGTGTGTCTGAGAAGCACGTTGATTTTTAATGATTACGGCAGCTAAAGAACCAGACAGAACTTGGACGGAGGCAACTGGAAATGGCTGGTGCAGGCCGTGCCAGCCTGGGAAAGAAACATTAATCTGGCTACAGGATGAACTGGTAACCAGTCCTGGTGATTTGTTTTTACGGCAGCTCAACCCATGGGGTTTTCTCTTTGACTGGCTGTTGGTGACGGTGAAGAAACTTGAAGTCATCTCTGTTCATCTTAACTGGTCTTTGGCAAGAAGGTCCCTGTATTCTTTCTATAATGTTAATATATAATTTTGTGTTATCCTAGCGGTGCGGCTCGTTGGTAGTAATAGTAGTGGCTCAGCCCATATGCACCTCGACTCATGCCGTGGATTGGTACGCTCGCCTGACGGTCTCCCACAACATTCTTGCCAGCAAGCTAAAGACACGGGTTGGATGAATGGACTCTAAAGTGGGTAGAAAACTAGCTGGATTGTTGGGCTCAAAGGATAGTAGTCAATGGCTCAATGTCTAGTTGGCAGCTGGTATCAAGTGGGGTGCCCTGGGGCTAGTTTTATTCAATGTTTACATTAACAATCTGGAAGATGGGATGGCGTGCACCCTCAGCAAGTCTGCAGATGACACCAAGCTGGGGGAAGTAGTAGATACACTGGAGAATATGGCTAGGGTTCGGAAAGACTTCAGCAAATTGGAGGATTGGGCCAAAAGAAATCTTGATGTTCAACAGACAAGTGCAAAGTCCTGCACTTAGGACAGAGCAATCCCATGCACCGGTGCAGGCTGGGGGTGACTGGCTGGGCAGCAACTCTGCAGATGAGGACCTGGGGGCGACAGTGGACAATAAGATGGGTATGAGCCAGCAGTGTGCCGTTGTTGCAAAGGAGGCTAATGACATATGGGGCTGCATTGGTTGGAGTGTTGCTGGTAGATTGAGGGAAATTACTGTTCTCCTCTATTCTGCACTGGCGAGGCCATATCTGGTGTACTGTGTCCAGTTTTGCTCCATCCCCGCCCCCTCCACTGCAGAAAGAATATGAACAAATTGGAGAGAGTCCAGCAGAGGGCAACAAAAATGGCTAGGGGACTGGGGGACATGACTTCTAAAGAGAGGCTGAGGGAACTGGACTTATTTAGTCTAAGGAAGAGAAGACCGAGAGGGGATTTAATAGCAGCCTTCAACTACCTGAAGGATGGTTCCAAAGAGGATGGAGCTGGACTGTTCTCATTGGTGGCAGATGACAGAACAAAGAGCAAAGGGAAGTTGAGGTTAGATATTAGGAAAAACTTTCTTACTAGGAGAGTAGTAAAACACTGGAACAAGTTACCCAGTGAGGTGGTGGACTCCATCCTTGAAGGTTTTTAAGACCAGGCTAAACACAGCTTTGGCTGGGATGATCTAGTTGGGGATAGTCCTGCCTTGAGCAAGAGGCTGGACTAGCTGTGACCTCCTGAGCTCCCTGCCAACCCTCATTTGCTGTGATTCTGTGAAAACCTCAGTCTTGTGCTGAGAAGAGTCTTGCTGGGTGTGATATTACTTGTAAGCTATGGCTACATAGCTGTGATCCATGTTACCAAATGTTGACAGCAACTGGAAAGGCCTCGTCTTATACCAGCATAAATTCATAGGTGTAATTCGACCTCAGAACTTAAAACAGCCCAGTGGATGAGTCTAAACAGAAATGTGTGCACAGCCTGTCTGTGATACCTGCTCTGCTGTGTGCTTATGACAAAAGGCAGTAAAAACCGTCAAGAGAAGAAATGTAGTGGCCAACCAGGAAACTGCTCAAGCCATGGAAGGAGGTGGGGGCTGGATTTGGAGGGCGACTGCTCTCAGTGCTCACCCGTGAAGTCTCTCAGAACCTGATTTCTTTCCAGCTTGGGGATTTTTTTTTAGTCCAGTTGCTGGGTTATTCTTTGATGCTAGGACATTTCTGTGGAGTCCATTCCCTCGCTGCAGAATCTAAGCTTGCATTTAAAACAAAGAACCCGATATCTGTTTCTAGCTTTTACGACTGAAGAAATACTGATCACCAACAACTACTGTATTATGTATAATTACTGAATGTCCAGGAAGCTTGAAGTGACTGTTTTGAGATGTGTAAACTTCTACTATCTCATTATGTGGTGACTCTGAAACCTAGTGGTGGTCAACTGCATTGTCAACATTGTCTATTTCTCTGCTTCATTTAGAAGGAAAAGTGTAATGCCTTACCTGGCCTTGTAAAATCCAGTATTTGATATTTGGGAGTGGGGCATCTGGCTTTTAAGGGGAAAAAGAAGCTGGGGATTTTCTCCCCTCTCTAGTGGCAAAAATCTTCACTGTCTGTATCAGATGCATAACTCATCCTCTCAGTCCCCAACCAACTTTCCACTATGCTGCTTTTTGCAAAGCGCGTGCAAGCTCTGCACAAAAATCTATGGCACAACAAAAATAAATACCTCAGTCCCTAAGGAGCATGCACTT